TGGAAAGCAATGGAGAGAGAGATAAGGGAAGGAGAGGGAGAGAGAGATGGGGAAGGAGAAGGAGAGGGAGAGAGAGATATGGGGGGAAGGGGGAGAGAGAGATGGGGGAAGGAGAGGGAGAGAGAGATGGGGGAAGAGAGGTGGTGAGAGAGAGAGAGAGACATAAGGGAGCAAGAGAGAGAGAGAGAGAGAGAGAGGGAGCGAGCGGGGTGAGAAAGAGAGGGAGAGAGTTTTTTTCATCACATTTAAGTTTTCATGTTTCAATCACAAACTGAAAAGTGGCCTCTCTTCAGGTGTGGTTAAAACGGAGCTGGGCAGAAACATGAGCCGTCTGTGGGAGCTGCTGCTGATGCCCATCGCCACGCTGTTCTTCCTGGATCCAGAGGGGGGCGCTCAAACCACACTGCACTGTGTCCTTCAGGAGGGTCTGGAGCCGCTGAGTGGGAGGTACCAGAAGGAGACCGGATCTGTCTGAGAACCCAGTCCACACATCTTTGAGTCTGTGTATACATCTGTTTGGGAAGAACCAAAAAAACAAATTATATACTTTCTTTTTAGGCAAGCCTCTGTGTCAGCTGCACAGAGAGGAGACCCACGAATAATGCCGGACCTTTCCAATTCTCTGAACCATAGAGCGTATATGAACTGACCAAGTGTCAATCAATCAACGTTTGTTTGTAGAGCGCCTTTCCTACACAAGGCAACACAAAGCGCCTCACAACCCACATCATATCCAGCAAATCAAAAACATTAAAATCTACATATTCATAAAAAACACAAGATATATTAAAAACAGAATAAAATCTCAAGTAATTAAAAACCTTAAAACATTAAAAACACACACGGGACGAAAATAATAAATTGCCACAATGCACTTAGCAGAGTATATAACATAAAATCCTTCAGTTGTCTGCAGCTAAACCGAACTGTTTTTAACCTGGATTTGAAAACTGCCAGAGTAGATGCTAGCCTCACATCTTCAGGAAGATTGTTTTAGCTGCATAAATCTGGAACGCTGCCTCCCCATGTTTAGTTCTGACTCTTGGAACGTGTGACATCACCACAGTGTTAGCCTGATTTGAACATAAGTTAACTGGAGCTAGCTTTAGAATTATTATTCACATTCTTAACCATGAAATGCTACAGTAAATATTCTCAAGATAATCTTTAGGGACCCTCTTAAAAACCTTGCACCATAATTCATCTCAGCAAGATGCAAGTCTTGTCTCGGGTCTGACTCTGGTCTCACTCTTGTTTATGGTCTGACTCTAGTCTCTGGTCTGTCTCTGGTCTCTTGTCTCTGGTCTCTGGTCTCACTCTGGTCTCTGGTCTGACTCTAGTCTCTGGTCTCACTCTAGTCTCTGGTCTCACTCTAGTCTCTGGTCTCACTCTAGTCTCAGGTCTGACTCTAGTCTCTGGTCTGACTCTAGTCTCTGGTCTCACTCTAGTCTCTGGTCTGACTCTAGTCTCTGGTCTCACTCTAGTCTCTGCTAGTCTCTGGTCTGACTCTTGTCTCTGGTCTGACTCTAGTCTCTGGTCTGACTCTAGTCTCTGGTCTCACTCTAGTCTCTGCTAGTCTCTGGTCTGACTCTTGTCTCTGGTCTGACTCTAGTCTCTGGTCTGACTCTAGTCTCTGGTCTCACTCTAGTCTCTGCTAGTCTCTGGTCTGACTCTTGTCTCTGGTCTGACTCTAGTCTCTGGTCTGACTCTAGTCTCTGGTCTGACTCTTGTCTCTGGTCGGACTCTGGTCTCTGGTCTCGCTCTAGTCTCTGGTCTGTCTCTGGTCTCGCTCCTGTCTCTGGTCTGACTCTGGTCTGACTCTGGTCTGTGTGTTTTTCAGGTACTTCTCAAACTGCGCTGTGGCCCGAGTGTCGAGCAAAGGCAGAGACGATGCTTTGGCCAAAAAACTGTGGGAAGTGAGCGAGAGATTAGCCGGAATATGAACTCCAGATCTGACCTGAAAGACCAAGATGACATTTTCAATCAAAGGGTTGTGGCCAGATACAAATGTCTTCTAAAGCAGAGATTCTTGCATAACGGACTTTACTCCGCGTTTGCCTGTGATATAGTGGTTTCCCCTGTTCATTGAGGCCTGCAGACCGACCTGGCCTGTGATTGGTTACATTTAGCTATGACCTGACTTAAAGCTGGGGCATCTAACTTACTGTATTTTCATAAATAACACATGTTTTTTGTAAAATGTTTTGAAGAAATCAGACTACTCCTTGCTGTCTTCATCTCATTAGAAATCATGTTGTCATTAGTGTAATATATAAGTAAGATCCCTGTGAGTCACTATTTGACTCTTTGGGCTCAGAGCTGATTGGCTGAGAGAGGGTGGTCCTCTCTTTGTCAATTTTCTGTCTAAAAAAGCTGATCTAAAGATGTGACCAAACGTACGTGATACAAACTTTTTTAGGAGCAAGGAGCTAATAATGTGGATTTTATTAATTATTGTGAGTTTCCCCTGTTTTAAAAAAGTTATTTCTCGTCTTTTCCCTCAAAAACACAAACATTAAAGATCATTTAAACATATGAACTTGACCCACAGTTTAAACGGCACAATCGGCTCCAGTGGGGGCTGTGCTTTGAATTATGCAGAACTTTAGATTTGGATGATTTATTTTGATTAACAGTGATTTCACGCTAAAAAGCAAATATGTGATTCCTTTAAAATAAATGTAATGTTGGTAAAGTAAATAAAGCAGTTTTAAAAGAACCATATGTGGGCTGTGCTTTTAAGTGATTACAAATGTAGCCACAAAAATGTTCAACAGGCTCAGACTTGGATCTACAGCCTGAGTCCTGGATCTACAGCCTGAGTCCTGGATCTACAGCCTCAGTCCTGGATCTACAGCCTGTCCATCCGTAGGAGCGGATCTCTCTCAGTGTGGGTGTCTCAGAGGTTTCTCACTTGTTTTCCCACTGGGTGTTTCAGTAGTTCCTTGCAGAGGCAGGAGGATCTAAGGACAATGATAATCCAGGACTTATATTAACATTTCTGGACAGTGGTCATCCTGCTCCGTACGAACAACTGCTCCTGTGTGTTTGTTATTGTTGCATTTCTTGTGTTTGAACTTTTTTGATTCTTTGATCTGTTGTTGGTGAATTGATCAAATTTAGTTTTTTGTTCTGCCCTAAAATATATTCTTAAGAAAGCACAAAAAACAACATCCAGTCTTTGCACTACAGTCTGTGCAACGGTGACAAAATCTGAAACCAATTCTAGCGACTGTCCACACGAGGGCAGTAGTGCTTCACGCTCCTCTTCCTCCTACTCCAGCTCCACACAAGACTTTAACCCTCTGCCTCCTGGACTGCGTTCTTTAGGGCTTCTCAAAACCAGGTCTGAAAAGCTCCTGTCCCGTAGACCCACATGTTCTTTCAGCCTGGACATAGTTCTGTTGTTGCGTTTCCACTTCCACAATGGCGGAGAAGGACCTCTCTATGTCTGCGCCATGTCAAACTATTATTCGATTCAATTACAAGGGCAAAGCAAGCGCTCGTTCGCGTTTTTGTGTTTGGGAATGAGACGCAAAGGGCGGATGTGGTGGACTTGACCTGGACGCACGCAGACTGATGGCGCTCCTGAAGAGGCCGTTAACGACATACTCTGAAAGATCAAAACCATCGGAGATCAAGCCGTGATAACTCTGTCCTTACAGCACTTTGCTCATAGTCGTTTATGTGTTTTATGAATTGACATTGACAATAAGCGTTTAAAAACCAGGGGTCTCAAACTCAATTCACCTGGGGCCCGCACGAGGTCGGGTCAGGGTGAAGCTCGGCCGCGTTAAGGGCTATGTCTATCACGTGTTTGTGTGTGTGTAGGATGTATAGTCAGAGATGGTCAAACACTAAAACCTCTCGAGCTGTTTGACTTTGCACTCGCAGTTTAGCTCCTGGACCGAGAAATTCACCTCGATGTTTGAAACAGCTCCATCTTCTCGTTCAGATTCAGATTCAGATTCATTTATTTGCCATTTGCAGTAAAACCACATTGGAAAAACTGTGCAAGACTACCCCCGTGTGCGCCAGACAGAGACGACACACACCAGAGCTCTTGCCACGGCGCCATCTTTTCCGGCGCCACGCGACAAACAGTAGAATAAACAGCAGAGAGCAATAACATACAGGTTACAACAGACAGTTGGATAGAAAACATTGTGCTTTGTATAAACCACGGATTTTTTTTCGGGATGAGCCCTTCTGCAGCCGGCCCAATGTGGCTGTCAGAGGGGGGCGGGGTCAGGGAGGGGGTGAGTCGGAAACACAATGAGGAGGGGAGGGGAGGGAGAGATCAGAGGGAGGCGGGGGGAGCGGGATCCAAGCTGGAACTGACTGAAAGAGTGTGAAATTGTTGTAGAGTCCAGATTTATTATGATGGCCTTGGCCCGAGGAATGTGAGATAAGAGTTGAGGGAAGACACAGCAAGGAGAAAAACACATCTTCCTGTAACGAGGGACAATATTGTATGCATTTTAGCAGTCAAAAACAGGCAGATATTCTATTAAATCCAATTAAACCGAATTGCGGCGCCCTCAGACCCCGTACACAGGGGCAAATCCAAGCCGGGTCAGAGAGTTCAAGCGTGACAAACAATGTCATTCAATCTCAATTCCAGAGTTTTATGCCCATCAAGTGAACGAGCTGCGAGATCTCTGATCAACTGTTCCACTAACACCACTCTTCTTTGTCCAGCCACAGCGCTCTCAACCACGACTCGGTTAAGCTCCTTGTACATCCCATCAATTTTGTTGGCCAGCAGGTCGTGAATCTTGCGAACTGCCATGCCTCCGAATTTATGGTAGAATAGAACCGCTCCAAGCCCAAACAGGAGGATCCCCACCACCAAAAAGCCAAAGATATATACGTCTTCCGAATCTTCAATGGACAGGGTCGACAGACAGAGGGGCTGCCACTTGTACCAGCTGTCAAGCGTATAACCCGCTGGTGAAGTCCCGTCCGGGCACTCGGGCTCTCCAGACCCGCGCTTACGTGTTGAAAAGATAGAATCAATTGCGTTGAGGGACCAATTTACCATTTCCATTCTTGCTAAAAGTTGTCTGTGGCAAAACTCCAGGAAAAAGACAAAAACAGGAGATAGCAAGCCGTCAGAAGCAGGAGCGTCTGAGACACGTCTTTGCTCGACGGAGGCGGAAGAAGAAGCTCTTTCACAATAACAGCAGAGAAAGTGACTGTTTGTGCTCCCCTCGTGATTCTCTCTGGCCGCTCTCTCTGGTCTCTATCTATGGTCTCTCTCTGGTCTCTTTCCTGGTCTCTCTCTGGCATCTCGGTTCTTTCTGTGGTCTCTCTCTGGCATCTCGGTTCTTTCTGTGGTCTCTAGTGTTTCTTTGGTCTCTCTCGGTTCTCTCTGTGGCCTCTCTCTGGTCTCTCTCTGGCCTCTCTCTGGTCTCTTTCCTGGTCTCTCTCTGGCATCTCGGTTCTTTCTGTGGTCTCTAGTGTTTCTCTGGTCTCTCTCGGTTCTCTCTGTGGTCTCTCTCTGGTCTCTCTCTGGTCTCTCTCTGGTCTCTCTAGTCTTTCTCAGTGGTCTCTCTCTGATCATGGGTGCACACATTATGACTTATTTTGACACCCAGAAGTTTCTTTTTACACGTACAGTACCTGTCTTGTCCCGGGTTCACTCCACATTTAACCACAGCGGTCGGCAGTATGAAAACCTCCAGTTGATTTCTTATTGACAACATACAGTGAGCGTCGGTAAAAACAGGTGTCAGGGCAGAGAAATCCTTCCAACAAACACCAGTGAGTGCTTCAGCTCCGTTCGCTGACACACTCCTCTCTTTAACAGTGGCTTCATCGGCAGCGTGAGAATCAATCCGCTCGGCCGTGTGCATCCAAACACTGTCTAATTGATGCGTTAATCCAGTGTCTAAGCAGTGCGCAGAGTGGAGAGGAGCCAAAACAAACGGCACATGCACCGCTCTGGCAGAAGGTCTATACACGCCGCAGTCTTTATGGATTTAACCTAGAGGAGGACACACTCGCCTCAGACTTCGCACACAAATTATTTTCATAAAACGACTGCGCGACTCGGCGCAATGCTAGTCGTAGTAGCTTTTCCTGGTCTTTTACACGCTCCTTGTTCTCAAACTCCTAGGAACACTGCTTCTAACTTAGAGCAATCACACAAAAGTGGTACAAGGGTGTAATTTACAGACTATAAACTGCTACTTTTTTCTTATTTAGTGTTGTGGCTAATATGTGTACTTTTTATTGTGATAGATTTGGGCTGTTGTCAAAGCAGAGTTTATGAACGTGAATGAGTTATGGAAGCTAACAACCCATCCATCTATCTGTCCATTTTCTTCCCCTTAATCCATTTCTGGGTCGGGGGTGGCACCCAGCTCACTGATCCTCCTGCAGGTAGTGAGTCCGCAGGAGGACGGCTGCTCTCTCAATGATGACAGTGTTAATCTCTCAGCGGGGGCTTCTGGCAAAGTGGGTTTGCCCAAGGACACAATGACAGCAGACATCAATGGGAGTCAGTGGAGAAGGTCTTGTGGTGGGCTTGAACCCACAACCTTCTGGCTCAAAACTCCGTCATTATACAATTTTTCTTATAATCCCAAATGTACGGTAGTCGTTTCTTGTCTTGAGCAGTTGTTTTGGAGATAAATTCATATGTGATGTATTTATATTCTCTTAACTTTTGTGCTTCCATCAAATCAAAATGACCTGCCACAGTGATTAAAAGTAGTCTCGGTGCAGGTGCTAACGAACCACGCGTCTGTTCTGAAGCGCTTCTATACGTCTCATTCCCACAAGGTCAAACTCAGGCCTAAACTCAAACATACTTCATCAATCCAGTGTGTTGTACACACAGTACAAAGCCGGCGTTTTTGGGGGTTTGAATGCATATTTTTGAAACCAGGTTGTAGAGTGGAAAGATCCTGCAAGAGAGGATCTCAGGGAGAGACCGGAGAGAGAGAGAGACCAGAGAGAGAGACCAGAGAATGTCAAGAAAGAGACCAGAGAGAGAGAGAGAGAGACCAGAGAATGTCAAGAAAGAGACCAGAGAGAGAGAGAGAGAGCGACCAGAGAATGTCAAGAAAGAGACCAGAGAGAGAGAGCGACCAGAGAATGTCAAGAAAGAGACCAGAGAGAGAGAGAGAGAGCGACCAGAGAATGTCAAGAAAGAGACCAGAGAGAGAGAGAGAGAGCGACCAGAGAATGTCAAGAAAGAGACCAGAGAGAGAGAGAGAGAGAGAGAGCGACCAGAGAATGTCAAGAAAGAGACCAGAGAGAGACCAGAGAAGGTCAAGAAAGAGAGACCAGAGAAAGAGAGACCCAGGAGAGATAAGAGAGAGAGACCAGAGAGGGTACTTTGTGCACGTGGCCTCAGTCGTCTCCTTCAGAACACTTAAAGCCTCTCTGGTAACGAGCCTTCTCCTCCTCGCTCATATTTCTCGGCGCAGGTGCTAATGAAACTCGCGACCGTTCTGAACCGCTTCTATCCGTCTTGTTGCCATTTTAATTATCTCCGGTGCTCCCGCTGAGTTCAAATCCACACGCACTCACACTTAGGCAAAACAAACCTGCAGAATGATGGCAGACGTTTAGCCACGCAGCACTTAGCTAAAGAGACCCCTCCCCGACTTTTCGCATTTGCGCCGAGCCGATGTCAAGGCGCCTCTCGCTGAGTGAAAAGTGTAATGCAGAGAAAGCGCCGTCCATTTGTTTGACGATAACCGCGCGGAACAATTAGCTTCGCAGAGCAGCGGAGTGAAGTCATTTGTGCCACGGCTATCGATCCAAATCCAATTTCATGAGAAAATCCTGATTTGATACAGTGCGCCGCGCGGCTAATGTTTACAGCAAGAAGTGGTTTGTTTGAGCGGTCGCTGTGCCGCAGCTTTTAGCAATAATGTCTATTCTTAATCAGGTCGCAGCTAATTATGTAACGAGAAGACGACGGTGATTTTCATTCATTTGAAATAGTTTTTTTTTTTAAACAATATTTACATTCCTTTGTTTATGGCGATAGCATTGAATGTAATTGTTTTCCTTCTTGCCTCCTGAATATTCTGTATTTACTTGACATGCTATTTACACACACACATAACTATATGTACAGACACACACACATAACTATATGTACAGACACACACACACATACATACACCTATTTGTACAAATGCACACACACACCTTTATGTACAGACACGCATACACACACTCACCTATTTGTGTACACACACACACACACATACATGCACAACACACACACCTATATGTACAGACAGACACACACACATATATGAACAGATACACACACACACACACATACATGCACAACACACACCAATACGTACAGACACACACACACACACACACACACTTAAATGTACACACAAACACACACACACACACACACATACATACATGCACAACACACACCTATATACATGCACAACACACACCTATATACATGCACAACACACACCTATATGTACAGACACACACAAAACATGTCACTTTATTTAATTTATTGCAAACACACCGTTTAACCTAAGAAATGACCAAAACTAAATACTGGACAATACTTTTGTTTTAAAGAAGAAATATATTGCATTCATTTTGACAACTGAAAACAATAACGACATTATTTATTTTGTCATTTCGTGTTGTATGGAATCCACAATATGCCAGGGTAAGCAATGTTTCAGAATAATCCAGGGACAACAGCAACATTTAGAACAGACAGAAGAGGAAGAAGCCACCTTACTATATTTGGAAACCACATTTACAAATACCCCTTTGTCTTGAAAACTTGTTTTTCAAAAGTATTTGTAATAATCTTTGAGTTCAAGTCCACACACACTCGGCAAACACACACAAAGACAGCCCTCCTCGACTTTTTGCCATTTATTAACATTTATTAACATTCCTAGGTATTGGCCTTCATTCTCTCAATATTATTATTATTATTATTATTATTCCTGTACTTGATCTGTTTGATTCTCTGATCTGCTATTGGCAAATCCACAACTTTGTATAGCCCTGAGACGACAGCTGTTGTGATTTATGGCGTTCCACAAATACATTGACTTTAATTGAATGTGTTGTGACTATAGTTTCATCAATTATTTCAAACTAAACTCCTAAAAATCTGCGGAATCGAAGACCAAAAAAAAACCCTGAATGCAAGTCATTTTGAAATCCTCCACAAACACACGCCTCCCCCATCCTCCCCCTCCTCCCCCCTCCTCAGCCTGTTGAACCTCTCTCCGTCTCCGTCTCTGCTTCTGTCCTCATTGATTGAGATTTTCCAGCGAGCGCAGCCCCGTTGATGAGATGTGATTGTCAGGGGCCAAAACATCTCCAGCCGATCGAAAGCAACTATCTGAGCAATTAACACGCGGCCATGTCCAACAATGGGCTGCGGAGCGAGAGGCGGGGCCCGGGGTCTCCAGCGCGGCCTTGGAGCCGAGTGGAGATGGGTGTGGAGTGGGGGAGACATTAGTTGGGTGTGGAGTGGGGGAGACAGGAGATGGGTGAGGAGTGGGAGAGATGGCAGAAGAGTGAGGAGACGGGAGATGGTGAGGAGAGGTGTAAGGGAGACAGGAGATGGGTGAGGAGAGGTGGAGGGGAGACAGGAGATGGGTGAGGAGAGGTGTAGGGGAGACAGGAGATGGGTGAGTAGAGGTGTAGGGGAGACAGGAGATGGGTGAGTAGAGGTGTAGGGGAGACAGGAGATGGGTGAGGAGAGGTGTAAGTGAGACAGGAGATGGGTGTGGAGAGGTGTAGGGGAGATAGGATATGGATGTGTAGAGGTGTGGGGGGAGACAGGAGATGGGTGAGGAGAGGTGTAAGTGAGACAGGAGATGGGTGTGGAGAGGTGTAGGGGAGAGAGGAGATGGAAAAGGAGTGGGAGAGATGGCAGATGGGTGAGGAGACAGGAGATGGTGAGGACTAGTGTAGGGGATACAGGAGATGGGTGAGGAGAGGTGGAGGGGAGACAGGAGATGGGTGAGGAGACAAAAGATGGGTGAGGAGAGGTGTAAGGGAGACAGGAGATGGGTGTGTAGAGGTGTGGGGGGAGACAGGAGATGGGTGAGGAGAGGTGTAGGGGAGAGAGGAGATGGGTGAGGAGAGGTGTAGGGGAGAGAGGAGATGGGTGAGGAGTGGGGGAGACAGGAGATGAGTGTGGAGTGGGGGAGATAGGAGATGGGTGAGGTGTGGTGTAGGGGAGACAGGAGATGGGTGAGGAGAAGTGTATGGGAGACAGGAGCGGGCGGTTATCCCTCTCTAAGCCCGGATTTTCTACCAAAGGCCTGGGAGCTTGAGGGTTCTGTGCAGTATCTTTGCTGTTCTGCACTGCACATTTCTGGACCAAGATGTCCGAGGTTGTTCTAGGATCTGCTGTTACCTCCTCCAGCTTCAGGGTCACTGCCCCGAGTGCACCATCACCACCGGCACTACTGTCACCTTTACCCTCCAGGCCCTCTCACTACTATCACCTTTACCCTACGGGCCCTCTCCAGCTCCTCTCTGAGCCCTTGGTATTTCTCAAGCTTTTCGTGTTCTTTTTTCATCTGCCCTTTGTCTACCACCACAATGTCAGGTTGGTTCATTACCATTTGGAGGAGTTTCCCTCTTAGACCTCCTACTTCCTGCTCTGGACAGAGCAGTCGCATTCTCTTGCTGCTCCTCGCTTGCTGCTTTTTTATCTCCTTTAATCATTTTTGCTTACATTTTTATTCCACAAAACACGGATTACTGCTTTGTACAAACTTCAACACAAGACTTGGGGTATTTACCTAACTTACAGCATGTCGGGAGGACGGGAAAAAAGAACAAAACTTCACTCAAACAGGAGCTAAAACTTCTTCAAGACCGAATGTTTGTGCTTGAATCAGAATTGGGGCTGAACACAACAATACCAGTGAAAGGAAATGGACCAAATGGACAGAACGTAAGTTATGATGACGCTATTTCATTTCCCAAAATCAACAGAGACAATTGTTGGAACACATATGGTGCCAAGCCCAAACAAGGCAAAGCTAATGATAACAAGAGTGTCATAATGCCACAGCAAAAATCTTTAATTACAAGAAACCGCTTTTCACCACTTTTGGAAGATGAATCAGCAGTAGTCTCTCAGTCCCAGTCTCAGTCTCAGTCAAGGTCAAATGCAGCTGAGTCGCTCTTTATCGGCGATTCTGCGATAAGACATGTAAACATGCGTGATCTCAAGGTTCACTCATTACACTCTGCCAAAGTGGATGAGATAAGCGGTTGGCTCCGAGGCTTCTGTCTGAGACCGGCGGGGTAAAAAGATTGTTGATCCACGTGGGGGCAGTAGACGTCTATGACAACACAAGTGAAAAGTTGAAACGGGATTACTCTCTGTTATTGGACGACCTTGCTAAAATGGACGCAACAATCGTTATCAGTGGCCCACTACCAAATGTGGACGGGAAGCAAATGAAATTCAGTCGTCTGTATCAGCTAAATACTTTCCTACTCAACGAATGTTCACGCAGAGGACTTGCCTTCATTGAGAATTTTAATCTGTTCTGGAATAGGCATGAGCTTTTTGAAGGGAAAGGGCCACATCTGAACACTTACGGAGTAAAAGTGTTGATGGATAACCTTTCTTTTGCCCTGAGACCTCAGCCTGCGCAGCGCGTGCAGCCATCGAAAGGGAGGAAGCCGACTCTAAAAGTCTCTGCACCTCCACCACCTCGAAGGATCTCAACACCTCCACCACCTCGAAGGATCTCAACACCACCACCACCTCGAAGGATCTCAACACCACCACCACCTCAAAGGATCTCAACACCTCCACTGTCATCAGAAGCGGCTGCATCATGACCAGCAGCAGCTGCATCATCACCAGCAGCAGCTGCATCATCACCAGTAGCAGCACCAGCTGCACGACCATCACCACCAACATCCTCATCCCCAGCCTGCTCCAAAGCAGCCACGCCTTCTTCATCTACAGCGCCTCTGAAGCCCCCATCCTCACCCCAGCCTACAGCAGACAGGCCTGTGCTGGGGATTCCTCAACCACCTGCCCCTCCATCAAAGACTCCCTCGCCACCTCCCATGGACCTGTCTTGGGTCCCCCCTGCCACGTCCACTCTATCAAGAGAGAATGGGGACACGTCCCTTTGTTTTTCATCCCCGCCTTCACTGTTAGACCTACCTGAACACTCTGCAGGGCTAATAAAATCGGCGATGAAGACTATTCCTCTCACACCCATATTAGCTAGATCTAGAGTCCTGTCCAACATTCTAAACCACTCCCCATATGTACCTCCAAAACCACCTAGGGTTTCCAATTTACCTACAAAAACCACCTCAGCCAGTCCCTCCCCTAACCTCATGACCATTCCACCCCCACTTCCCCCTCGTTCAACACCCAAAACCTCTGCCTCAGCCGACCCCGGCCCTAACCCATCACCAAAAACCCCTCCACCTCCCTGCCCCCCTCGTTCAACACCCAAAAGCCACCCACCTCTCCATCCTCCTCCCCCGCCTTCCCCTTCCCCTCTTTTCTCTAAACACTAGGATGCACAGGGTCTCTGCTTCGCAGCCACTGGCAGTCTAGTTAGAGGAGAGACCCGGCTGGGGCCCTGTCATGAAGCCACCTGTGCCATTCCCTTAGTGATAACACAAAGAATACATTACAGAAAAACATCTGGAGTTAATCAGTCTAATCTGGAAAATCTAATTCTTGTTCCGTGTAAGAATCAGCCGACCACAACCGCTGATACTGAAACTTTGAAACTTGCTACGCTTAATGTCAGATCTCTTTGTAACAAGTCTTTTTGAATCAATAATTGTATTTGTTCTCATAATCTTGATCTTATGTTCATGGCTGAAACTTGGCTTGACCAAAATTCAGGAAATGCAGTTTTAATAGAAGCATCACCACCAAATTTCAAGTTTGAATCTGAAATACGGGAAAACAAAAAAGGAGGAGGCTTAGCTGCCATTTTTAGAGACCACTTTGTCTCCCATAGAATGTCTCTTGGGAAGTTTTTGTCATTTGAATATGTGTCTTTTAAAATACAACAAAAACAATTTCCTCCAATACTCTTCATTGTCCTATACAAGCCACCGCAGTCATGTCACAGTTTTATTGATAATTTTACCGAGTTGCTTTCAGTTGTATGCACAGATTTTGATAGTTTGGTTATTACAGGTGATTTTAATATTCATGTGGATAATGTTGATGACAGAAATGCAAATGAGCTGAGTTCTGTACTTGAATCCTTTGATCTCACTCAGCACGTAAGTGGCCCCACCCACAGCAGAGGGCACACTCTAGATCTGTTAGTTACTAAGGGGGTGAATATTTCAAATGTAAACGTGGTCGATGTTGCTCTTTCGGATCATTTCTGTGTTTTTTTTGACATGTGTTTCACTAACAAACCACCAGTGGACTCTGCAACTGTTCGAAGAAGGCGCATAAATGAAAATACGAGTGAACTGTTTATGGGAATGACAAACTTTGAGGATGCATCGTATTCTACTGTAGATGAACTGTTTAACTCTGTCACCGCTAGTGTTTTGAATGTTCTGGATACCGTTGCCCCTGTGAAGGTTAAAATAGTGAAAAATAAGCAGAAGGCGCCGTGGGCTAAAGCAGACTCGGTCAGGGCACAAAAGAGAAAGTGCCGGAGGGCCGAGCGGAGGTGGCGCAAGTCCAACCTCCAGGTTGATTACGAGATCTTCAAAGATAAGTTGTGCGAGTTTAACCGGGTGCTACGTAGTACGAGAGAAAGGTATTTTTCTGAAATCATTTAAGGCTGCAGCAACAATCTGCGTGTTCTGTTCTCAACAGTTAATAGATTAACAAAACCCCCTGTTCAGATGCCATTAGAGCTTAATTCCAAACGTAAATGCAATGAGTTTGCTAATTTTTTTAATGACAAGGTTCAAGGCATCAAAAACGCCATTGTCTTAAGTGTGCACCCTTGTGCGCTACGGGGATAGTATTGGCAGGGGAAAGAGTTTGTGTTGATGCAGGGCTGTGCGGTTACTAGCGCGGACCTGCCAGCATGCCGCGCCACACGCACGCACAGACGCGCTCCTTTCTTCAGCGCAGGGAGAGAGAGCACCACACAGTTTATGACGGAGCAGTCACTGGCGCTCCGTCACACTGTCCAAGAGATAATCTCCAGTTTGAGCTCCTCCACATGCAGCTTGGATGTACTACCCACTAGATTTCTGAAGTCTGTTCTGAGCAGTCTGTTACCTTCACTCACACAGATAGTAAACATGTCCCTTCATTCTGGAATATTCCCAAAAGCCCTGAAAACTGCAGTCATCAGGCCCCTGCTAAAAAAGAGCAGTCTGGATGCTACGGTACTTAACAACTATCGTCCCATCTCAAATCTGCCATTTATGGGGAAAGTCCTTGAGAAAGTTGTCTACCTACAGCTTACTAGATTTCTTATAATCAACAACTCATTTGATATGTTTCAGTCCGGCTTTAGACCCCACCACAGCACTGAGACTGCTCTTGTTAAGGTTACAAACGATATCCGGCTGAACACTGACGCAGGCAAAGTCTCAATCTTAATCTTGTTAGATCTAAGTGCTGCCTTTGACACAGTCGACCATGAGATCCTCTTACAGAGACTAGAGGACTGGGTTGGAGTCGCTGGCACCGCCCTAAGTTGGTTTAGGTCTTACCTTGAGGATAGGAAGTACTTTGTGGAGATTGGAAACTGTGTCTCAGATCATATGGCCCTGACCTGTGGAGTACCACAGGGGTCGATCCTGGGACCTCTTCTGTTCAATCTCTACATCAGATTCAGATTCAGATTCAGATTCATTTATTTGCCATTTGCAGTAAAACCACATAGGAAAAACTGTGCAAGACTACCCCGGTGTGCACCAGACAGAGAAGACGACACACACCAGAGCTCTTGCCACGGCGCCATCTTTACGGCGCCATGCGACAAACAGTAGAATAAACAGCAGAGAGCAATAACATACAGTTTCACAGACAGTTGGATAGACACATTGTGCTTTGTATAAACCACGGATTTTTTTCTCGGGATGAGCACCTCCGACTGCCGGCCCAATGTGGCTGTCAGAGGGGGGCGGGGTCAGGGAGGGGGTGAGTCGGAAACACAATGAGGAGTGGAGGGGAGGGAGGGAGCAAGATGGATAGGTAGAGGGAGGCGGGGGAACGGGATACTTGCTGGAGGCTGAAATAGTGTGAGATTGTTGTAGATTGTGGGACCGTGCTGCCGTTAGGTCAGTTAAAGGCACACCGTGTAACTCTTGGCCACTAGGGGCGCTAGACCTGCAACTTTCACGTTTAGCGCCCCTAGTGGCCACAAGCAACTCAGCACTGTCGCAAAAGTCAAACAGTCAGCCGGTGTCTTTTGAGTGTGTATTCAGACAGCATGCACTGGTGTGTGTGTTCAAACTGTAGAGACATGCCTACAGATATTGAGAGACTCTGCTGTGGTCAGCCTCCAGACCGCTGCATTAGTAATCTACCACACATGGACTTCTATATCCTGGATGAGGGAGTTCTGCGTCTAGCTCGTGCTGCGTGGAATGATATCTTTGCAGTCGATGACATCCAGGAACCAGGTGAAGAGCAGCGCTCATACAGACATGCAGCTTACAGCACGATCCCTTTCGCGTTTCCTCTTTTTAGCCTCCTCCAAAGGTTTAAAATTTTTCCTTGCCTCAGCCATGACCAGGAGTCGAGCAGGTGAAAAATGAGTAGCAAAAGCCTTAGCTCCATGAGTATATCAGCGCCTGTAGCCGTAAAGCAAGTCTTTCTTCCAAGTCACGTGACCTGGTGGCAGACGGTCCGTCTGCTCGAAAGTTACATGGGCGGTATTTCAAGAGGGCAGCCCCGCTCGGAGCATTGCAAGTGTCAAGCGCTGTATATTGGCCCAAGTATTCATATAAAATAACTCATATGTGTCAACTCTTTAGGTCACAAAGTCCGCGGTGTGCCTTTAATACGCAGAAACAAAGTTTCCTATCATAACTATGCAGACGACACTCAGATCTATGTCTCACTGACTGCAGGAGAACATGGACCAGTCGACTCACTCCTTCACTGTATCCAACAGATCAGTGAGTGGATGCAAAACAACTTCCTTCAGCTAAACGCAGACAAAACTGAAATGATTGTCTTTGGTCCCCAGAAACAAAGAGAGAGCGTCATCTGTCACCTACAGTCTCTCTCCCTAAAACCTTCAAACAAGGTCAGAAATCTAGGGGTAATACTGGACTCAGACTTAAATTTTAATAGCCACATCAAATCAGTAACATCAGCAGCTTTTTACCATCTAAAAAACATTGCCAGGATCAAAAACATAGTGTCTAAAGCAGACCTGGAGATTCTTATCCATGCATTTGTCTCCAGTAGGTTAGACTACTGCAATGGCCTGCTCACAGGTCTGTCCAAACAGGCTGTAAAACAGCTGCAGTACATTCAAAATGCAGCAGCTCGAGTCCTGACTAGAACCAGGAAGTACGACCATATTAGTCCAGTCCTCAGGTCTCTGCACTGGCTTCCTGTGGCTCAGAGAATAGACTTTAAAACAGCTCTGCTTGTGTACAAATCTCTCCATGGCCTCGCACCAAAATATATGAGTGACATGTTAGTCCCATATGAACCAGCCCGGACTCTGAGGAGCACAGGGACTGGACTCCTGTTAGTGCCCAGAGTCAGAACTAAACATGGGGAAGCTGCTTTTCAGATTCATGCTGCTAAAATCTGGAACAGTCTTCCTGAAGATGTGAGACAGGCCTCCTCTCTGACAATGTTTAAACCAGGTTTAAGACAGTTCTGTTTAATTGTGCATA